TTCTGCATGTTCTGTTCACCTAAAACTTCGAAAGCTACATTTTTAATTAGGGTTTTTAGGTTGGTTCTACATCGTTACAGGCTTTCACTTCCTCTAGGGCTACATCTAATCTTCTCTGGTATAACCATTTAATACTGGCATCGTGTAGTAAATGAAGCTTGTACTTAATACGCTCAGATTCTTCAATTTCCAGTTCTTGTGATGTTGTGTATTCTATACTTTTGGCTCTGCTCTGGAAAGGTACTACTAATTCTGCAACGACCAGACGGTGGTGGGATCCACAATTTGCTCCTCTCTTAACTCTGCAGTCTTTGAATTTGAGTTTCGATATTTGTTTAGCAATCATATAATCAATTATAGATTTTTGTTGCAGAGAGGGCCTTTCTCGGGTGTATCGATGAATCAATTTGTGTGGGAAGAAGCCGTTAAGTTTACGTAGACCATTCAGTTCGCAAAAGTCAATTAACCTCTCTCCAGAATCATTAAGGACGTCCTCACTGTGTTTTCCAACCACTTTACTATCTTCTTTCTTACCAATTCTTGCGTTAAGGTCTCCCATGATTAAGACTTCCTGGCTCGGTTTTATTTCTGTGAGGACTTTTGAGAGTGCAGCATAATAAGAGTCTTTTTCCGCTTGGTTTGAATCATCTGTGGGCGCATAAGTTCCTATTATTACGGTTTCCAATCCGAAAATGGTCAAGGTGACAGTTACTATTCTTTCGTTGACAGCGTTGTAATTCTTGTAAAATTTAGACTCTTACCTTCAAACTTTCGTCAAAATATCAACATTTCGTTTTCACTCGTGGAGGCTAAAAATTCAGATAATTTAGCTACAAATTGCTTAAAATTGCAGCTGATCGATACAATAGAAAGTTATTAAAAGGTAGCGAACGCACTAACGGGAATATGCAAAAGGAAAACCGAATAGCGCCTAAAGAAAAGCGCAATAAATAGCACGTTAGAATCGAGAAACTCTTTTATAGAAGCAGAAGCGAAGAACCAGTCAACTGGTACCGATGCCACGTTGATAAGGTAATATCCCGGTATTTAAATACGCATGAATTATGTAGATGGGTACTTATTCGATTGGACATATTGATACTCCACTCTCTGTTATTAATAGTCACAATTTACACACAATACAATACCAAACTCCGCGTCCAACGTTTCAATACAATTTATATTCAAATCCAACACATTTATTTGAGTGTAATTGTGCTAAGTTATTTTGTCGTATAAAATACCCTACATATGTATGTTTTTGCCTTATTCGTTTGAGAAAAATCCCAGTACCGACTATTTCTATCTTCAGACTTCAGAATGTCGGATATATATAGTATATATCGACTTATTCGGAAAGAAATTTTCTAATAATAATAATAACTTAACATGCGGCGAATAAAAGAACTCGTTTCTATGGCCTAACGAATGTGGCGGCATTGCTAATCATAAACCTATTAATGAAATAACGTATTTAATTATAAAATCGAATCATAAATGTCGAGTAATAAATATGAAAATATTGACAAGTTATTACCGCAATTATATAAATAACTTAAAGTTAAGAAAGAACATATAAATATATTTCATATTGATTAAGGAAAAGTGACTGCAAAAACCTTTCCTAAGGACATTTTATTTAATTTATTCCATAATTCAATGTTAAGAAAAACGCATCAACTTTACATATAAAATAATACTTCACAAATAAGATCTTTAGCGTAAAGTTTAGGATATAATTAAATATAAAATCCCAAATTTTATACTAAACAACTAAACAATCTTTTAAGTTACTTCTTATTTTGTAAAATTAAACCCACTACTCCAGCTAATGTCATACCTAGTGAATAATTTTTACTAACAATGTTATATTAATACTGAAATATTACCTTTTCCACACAAGGTTGCCATACATAAAGAAATACAACAATTTGAAATAAAATTACGTGCCTAATTATTGAAAAGCTTGCCCTACAAACCGAACCTAGACTAATTTACTTGCCAATATTCATATTTTCATATTTAAATTGTAAGATGCAAAAAACGAAACAGTAATTAGCATGGCTGTGCGGTTATATGTTCATTACAACGGACATTAAAGCGGGAATTTGCTTTATTTCACATAAATCTAATACGAATAGGGCCATTTAACAATTTAAAAATCCAAGAGCGATTTTTAAAATTGCTCCAATGGAGGACATTTGCCGGCATTTAATTCGGCAATAACATTCCAACAAACTGACACTACAGGAAAGAGTTAAATACACGTTCTGCAGTCAGCAATTAGCTTGTACGTGTCTATACCACTTTTAACAGTGGTGTACAAATCAGGATTTACCCGTCACAACATTATTAAGTAAATTATATAGATTTATCGCAACAAATACTTCTAAATATAGCTTTATAAATGTTAAATGTTCCCATTTTAGTAATGTTTCGATATTTTAAATGTAGAATGTATGGAGTATTGTGTCCCCTTTTTTTAGTATCAGCGCTTTGAAAAAAGCCTATATCTGAGACTTTTTTTACAGAGGTAAGTTGGTTTCCACTTGGAAAGCAGCACGGTTCTGCAGTGTTTAAGTAGATCGTTTGCTTCTTCATTGCCTTCAATTCATTGGTGGGCTGGCACTAGGAGTAGGAGGACTTTATTTTCTTTACCTAATTTATCCAGCTTTTCTAGGCATTCTTTGACCAACTTCGAATTTATGGTTACTGAGTTGATTACTTTTAATGCTGCTTGACTATTGGATAAGATGGATTTCTTATTTCCGATAGTTTCTATCTAAGATAAGTTGTAAGTATCTTTCGATAGTGTAGATTTCTTCCTGAAGGATGCTGGAGTAGGTGCCCATTGGTTCGGAGTATTTAGTTTTCGGTCCAAATACACCTATCCCTGTTCCTGCTTTGGTTTTGTAAGCATCAGTATACCACGTTATACCTGCTGAGCAACCGTTTCTCTCTTCCAATTTTTTCTTCTATTGGTATGTCATCTATTGGGACTTGAAGGAGTGGAATTTTTTTTTGAAGATGTTCCAAGCTCCTGAACTGACAATTCTCCCAGTATTGTTTCCGTCAATGACCATTCTAATCATTGTCGCATTAGCATATCTACCGATGACAATGTGCAGTGGTGTTAGGTCTAGAATGGCCTCCATTGCTGCTGTTGGGCATATTATCATGTCTCCATGCACAGATCTTGCCTTGCTTTGCGATATTTTAAATAGCTTTTACTTTTTCCGGAACTATCCAACTGAAACAACTAAAAAATGTATCAGAAGCATTTTAACATTTCTTAAAAGACACTACATCTCGTTTCTGTAATATTGTGAGTAATGAACAACTGATTCTCTGGAATTATAGAATACATATCTTATTTTATCGATATAACGATACTTTTATGGTATAGATCATTCCTTAATTTGATTAGAATACTCAGAGACGTATTTTCGTAGAAATAATTATATTTTTACGTCAATTCATATATGAGAGAAAAGTAATATTATTGATACGGCTATGGCTTGGGGATCTTGTTGGGGTAGCAGACCACTAATAACTAGAAACTGCGCTTGAATACGAATGCCTTTTGCTCCCCATAAAATGTACGTAATTGCATCATTTCATTTCATTTCAACGTTTTCTAATAAATTTATTCCGTTGTTTCAACCCTTTCACCGTTATTCTTTAACTCAATTTCGATATATTTCTCGACAAATTTTGATTTTGTTATATCTATAGATGTCAAGCAACAAGTAGACGATTATTTGATTATAATTATTTATTTGGTAAGATTTATTAACTTGTAATTTTTATTTTAATGTAATAAGCCATCTAAAGAGTTTATCAAACACTTGACTTAATACGAGTAGTTTTTTGAGTTTTTATGATGCATAGGGGTAAAAAAAATGCAAAAAACAGATTAGCATTGTAGTCTAATGATCTGGTGAAGAAAGGATTGGAAATATCTGGTTCCGAGTTTATTAAATGGAAATAAAACGAAGGCAAGAAAGGTTCCTTCTACCTGTTGCCAAAAACGACGAAAAGAAAAAGTCGAAAACAAGTGTCAACAAGCGAAAGAATGGCGAGCCGCCGTTTTAAATTTATTTTATGGACTTTAGACAAAGAATCGGTGCTTAAAATTCGAGAAAAAAGTCAGTAGCTAGCTAGTTTCCAGTCCAAAGGACAAATGTACTGTTTAACAGACTGCGACAAATCACACAATAGGAATTCATAAATCTGCTAAAGAAACGGCATAGGCGAAGGCAGTTCTAAACTATCTTTTCATCGATCTACTTAATAATAAATCAATAAACCTTTCTTGGAAATTTAATTTAGTCAAATGAGAACCAAAATATTCACGTATTCTCCAATATGATAACCAGATACCTACCTCACCAATTCTATTCGAGAGTATTGCCATCTTCTGATAATTCTAACCAGAAAAAGAACACAGAATACATTTTCGGTTTGAAAGACTACGAATATAATAAATTAATCTATTCTGTAACGCATTAAGTATCTTGTATATCGTGACAGTTGACATGGTCTTTCCTCAATCGAAAAACACGAGCAACAAAACTGGAATAAGTCTTTCTCCATATTTAGCATCGCTTTGAAGTAGATCCCAGCTAATAGTTTTTGCCTCGAGCCAATACCAAATTTGTAACAACTGTGGCATATTTTATTTTATATATTTACTTAATTAGATCATTTGAAACCGGTTCAAAAACAACAAGAAGTCCGAACAGGCACAATGAAAAATGTCCACTACACTCTCAGTGATTTTATTACTTAATCGCCAATACCTTATTGTAAGGTAGTCGTATGGAATCAAGTTTTTTTCAACGACAATAATGGTGGAAAGAACAGTGTATTTATTCAATCATTACAAGTACAAATTATTTCGCCATTTTTTTAACTCTTTATCGATATATAACACAATAGATACTATAATTTTATAATATTTTTTTTCTGTATGTCTAATTGAATATTTTATATTTCAGTAGGGCCCATATTCAGTGGAAGTTTTGGCACTAATGGTACTTACACATTTTCTGTACCAGGATTGCCACCTGCAGCGCATTCTTTAGCAAAATCTGGATTTCTCTTTGATCATGGTAAGTTTCAATCTTATTTGATTATTATCCATGAGTAAATTTTATAGGTTATTGCCTCCATTTATATGTTTTATACGGTAGTGCAAATTCCGTCTAACATACCAATTATTTTCGTAGAAAAATCCTAACATGCGTTTTGAAAGTATCGATAAATATGACATATTCGGTCTTATTATTTTCCGGATATATTTATTGAATTTTTTGGGAGAAAAACTGTGCACTGCTACATCCAATAACGTCATATAAATGTCGCAGAAATAGGAATGCAACTAAACGAATTGGCTTTCGGCTTTTGATCGCTGAAAGAGATCTGAGAGGGTCTCGCTCGGTGCAAATGGGTGTTCACCCTCCGATTGGCTGCAAAAACTCTGATACTAACATAATTAAAGTACAAGCAGTGTAATTTTACTTAATTAAATTTCCTTTTAGACGGACGCTTGGTGTCAGCCTGAGCGTTAAACGCCGTTTTAAAAAACCATGGGCGTATACAAGGCAAATCGTAGACCTTGTTAATCCAACACCCACTAAATTTAAACAATTTTCAAAATTAACAAACATATTTGTTTTAAAACTAGGTAGTTTGATATTATACTTTATAAATTGTTAAGTAATTAATAGAAAATGTCGTGTCATACGATCTTTTACATGGAACTCAAGAAGATAAACAAATTGGACAAAGAAAATAAAGTCCTCCTAGAGAAAAAGTCCTCCTAGAGAAAATAAAGTCCTCCTAAAATAAAGTCCTTGAGACTGTATGATGAGTTATATAACTCAAGAAAGGGGAACACAATAGATATATAAAGTCGTGGTGATTAACTTCGCCCTCCTATGCAATTTACATCTACATCTACATGAAACACTGCCTACCTACCTAGGTATTCGCTTAAATTATGTAAGAAGTCGGATTTTGAGCTCCACTGAAGCTTTATAAAAACTACGCAAACCTGTATACGAGGACAGGCGCAGCAGGTGATGCGCGGTTACTTAAAATCTAGCGAACTCGACTGGCTGTGTAATGAATAGGCTGTGGTACAACAACTTTTCCAAAATATCACCTGGCCTTAAGATATTTGCCTTAAGTTTTTTTTTTACGCAGGTACTTAGTATCAGAGATCAAATTAAAGAAATTACTATATAGAAAAGTCGTTATCTGGAGAAGGATTTAATATTTTGCATCAGGAAGATGTAAATGACCTATTTGAATCACATATTGTTGAACTTAATTAAGAAGAACTCAAAGAATTGCAGAATAAGAATGAAACTGTAGAATGACATGAAGATGTAGTCCTGGAACCACAGGATAATTAACAGTGATAACTCTACACAAATGACTTACCATAGCACATAATCTTTGAAAATCAAAGAAATAAATTTTAAAATTAAACAAGATGCATTTACGACAATAAAATTTAAATTAAATAAAACAGATTTTTTTAATGCTTACTGAGATTTTTATAACAAAAATACGGAATTCTTACAGAAGTTAGACAAAAAATAAATTAAAAAGGTAGCAAATGTTACTCTCCAGTAAGTTCTGGTCGCAATTGAAATACTTCCTATCCATCTACGCCAGTGTACAAAGAAATAAGCGCCGTGAAAAGGGCCGGTGAAAACTTTTTACTTTTTTCCACTCAATGAACATTAAAACTCGGCATTTAATTTCATCAGAGATCTAAGAGGAGATTTTTGATCATAAAAAGAGGAGAAGAAACAGTGAGCGCCTTTCGGCGGATGTCACACTGTGACAATTCTCCCATTTGCGACTCTTATTAAAAAATTACCCTCCTTGAAACTTTAGTGTTTTGAATCTTTTCCATTTTCTTACTTATAAATTACTTATATTTCATAAGTTCTTTATTTATTTATTTTTTTCAGTTATTCAAAATATAAAAGATAAACTACAATATTCCCATTTTTTAATAAGAAAATTCAGGTTACGTATTCTCTCTGGAAAGAAAAAAATAATATGATTATTCTTATTAAACAAATGTTCAAAGATTCTGTTTTAATACCGTAAGTAAACTACCACAGAGAGCTCAATATTTATACTTAACTAAGGGTCTTACTTGACCACACAAACAAATTTGTTTAGGTCCTTCTAACCAAACATAAGACTGCAAACTATAGTATAGTACACGGTTTACATAATATAGAATTATATCATAACTACAATGGACTATTTTTTTAATTAATATTGGATTTCTTTGGAGAGTAACATTTGCTACCTTTTTAATTTATTTTTTGTCTAACTTCTGTAAGAATTCCGTATTTTTGTTATAAAGATCTCAGTAAGCATTAAAAAAATCTGTTTTATTTAATTTAAATTTTATTGTCGTAAATGCATCTTGTTTAATTTTAAAATTTATTTCTTCATATGATTTTAGTTAAGGAAATAAGTCTTACACCAAAAATATGCTGAGATAAATTTATGTGCATATTATTCCCGAAGTATGAACTTTAGGATAACAAAAACACATTTTACTCCTTCCAAGCGATGTAAATACCCATTCCTGCATATTTAGCTCTTGAAAAAGCCTAAGCCCCACATGACAGTTTCTTTTAATGGTCTAGCAAACCCTAGTCACGATAAAAACGTCATTTTCAAACTAGATATCCAGAAAAAAATGGCAGGACGGTCTCCTAAGCAAAAACACGGCCGTTTTTGCCCCGGACCGTAACGCTTATCCCATTAGCTTCTCAATTACATTAGAAACCCTAAATCCGAAGGCGTCATAGGTCAGTGCCAGACTGCACGTACGGTGAGTGACGTAAAAGACATTAGTCCTGAAAATAGGGGGACCGGACGAAACACGTTAAATGTTTATTTAACGTTCGATGCTAACCGCTCACTTGACGCTTGTTCCCCACTGGCTGACGTGTCCCCTAAAAGTCCGACATGTCATCAGGTGCTCAGCGGCGTCCCCAAACTCTTCCACCCCTTTTTAAATCGAAATTTTATTAAAATATACCAAGCATTAATTTAACTAATGAAATACTTCTGTCATTGAATTATAAAATAGACACAATATTTTATATATTATGATTTGTTTCCAGCTGACACAAAAAGCATCAAATAATATTGTAAAGTGTAGATTTCTTAAGGATTTCTCCAGCTTTTAATTCGATATAATTCCAGATAACTCTTTATTTTCGATATGACAATTGACTTCGCAAGACTCGGCACAAATTCGGGTCCAACAAGATCATTTTTGGTATCTTCCTTAACCAAACACTCTTCGTGAGGTTTTAGCAATACAATCATCCATTGGATTCTACTATTTCCAGTTTTCTTCGGTTGGCTTCCGTTATTCTCCATGTCTCTGCACCGTAAAGTAGACCGCTCTTTACAAGGATCTCATATATATTAATATTCCATTTTGTTTCTATTTTATTACTCCAAAATACGCCATTCAAACAACAGTTGTTCTTGTATTCTTCGATTTAGATACAGTAGCTTGTATTCTTCGATTTTTAATCTTGGTCATCTTTACCTGTAGTACCAAATATCACTCTTAGGTAATTATAGTTATTGCAGGCTTTTAGTTCTTCATTTTCTAGATGTATGCTAGATAATTCTGCACCAATAGGTTTTAATTATACTTCTTTTCATAGTGTTTTAATTCTACGCCCCTGGGACCCCATCAGACTTCTTGAACGCACCACCGTCGACTTGCAGCAGGCCCTACTGAACCAAATCCCTACGCCCTACACGATTACCTTACCTAATTACTCTTAACTGAACGCTTGCTACCTCCAAATTGTTTCGAACAACCCTGCCAATAATTCCATCACTCGCACAAGCCAATCAGCATCCGCCCAAACGCGTTTTTAATCTATTTCAACAAGAAATATCCCAGTAGGCTAATCCAAAGGGCAAAAATTGATTGTTATTAAATTGGTGGGGAGTGAATTGAACTTTGAAGGAATTTTATTAGCTTAGGGTGAAGTAAAAAAATACGGTAGTTATTTTATCGCTGGAATAGCAAACTTCAATACACAAACTTCATAATGTCTTTTTTTCTCAATAATATACTGATTCCATCTCTGTAACAAGTTGTGCAGGTCCTTAAGATTTTGGAGCATAGTTTTGGATCTTTATCGCAGATTCTGCAGCAGATGACTTCCTTTATTCAAGTTAAAATTGTTCAGGTGGCACTTTATTTCTGCTAAGCATTAGCAGTTTCTTAGCATTATGTCCTTGAATGAAGACCTGTTCCCCTGTCTGTTTCTCCAGTATATTCTTTTTTTCTCTAATCCAGAGTTTTAATGCACCATGAGTCAAACACTTGGGTATTCCCAGGACTGGATCTGAGACGGATTCACAGAGGCTAGTTCTCCATCTCCGATATCAGTCGTACCAAAGTTTATGGCACGAATGGAATGTCATCTCGGCGCACTCAGTGATGAGGTGTTCTGATGTTTCCACATTTTCCCAACAAATTTTGTATTTGCCGTTATTTCTTAGCTTCAATCTACTTACGTGTTCGTTGAGAAGACAGTGTCCTGTTAAAAACCCCGTGAAAATCCTAAGATTGTTCTATCTTAAATCTAGTAAAAACTTTGATTTTTCTTAACTTGACTCATACTGCACCATTTAAACAGAAAATATAATAATTGAGAAATTATAGAAGATATAATATAATTTTTTTAATGATGAATGGTTACTTGGATATTTTTTTGTTACAAAAAACTGATGGAACTGAAGGAAGATTGAAAGGTAGAGCATTTTTCGTCGTTACATAAAATGATAATTAACATCTGAGCAGAGAGACGACTGAAAAAGTCGATTTGGCACCATCTAAACTGAAGAGATGATTAAAGAATCAGTGGCAAATTTCAGCAAGCCGCGGGAGCGATTGAGATGGCCTCGGCGAGACGACAAAAAGCCTCTACAAGGTGTTTTTGCTATCGCGGCCGAGATGGAATCTGGTCGTGAGCCGTGAGAGACAAAGCTACGACATTGTTTGGCACGGCTCGGCATCAAACGATCCGGTTAATCA